TTTAATGAATGATTCACTAGAAATTTACACACTTTAATAGGTGGTTTAAATATATTAATACCCGCGTTTTAAGTAGAAAAATATTAAAATTTTTTATTTAAACGACGTTAATAAAATAAGAAGTTTCTGAAGTTGTTTGAAACAATTTGCGCTGTTATAAAGGAGAGAAAAAAATTGGTAGAGTTTTTTCATCAAAGTAAAAAAAAAAAAAATTAGTTTTCATATTGATAAAAGTTGTACACAAATAATTTCAACTACAATAATTAAAATATTTTTTCAACAATTATTTTTGGTTTAATGTTAATAATTGTTATTGAGAAACTTTTTTCAGTCATTGATTTATCTTTACCAGTTTAAAAATTCCTAATTTGAAAAGTACTTCCTATTCCAATCAGTGCTTGGTTATAAAAAGACCAATTTTCTTGTGCCCCCCTTTCATCAGTAAATCTGCTAATTTGAAACTATTTCTATAATTAGAATTATTAGAAAAACTCTCGTCCACGCATTATGTAGTTTGTTTACCACAATTAAGTCCAGTTATAGGTTATATAGCCCCGTCCTTGAAGAGATATTGCACCAAAAATAGACTCATCTTCTGCCGAAGCACGCACCTAATGGTTTTATTACACGAGCCGCTCTCTCGCCGTTTTTCCTCGGACTAAAAACATAATAGGCCCGAATCTGATACACACAAGCTCTCTTTCTCAAGAAGCGTGTTGACAAACAACCGAACAAAAAGAGGCCTCTCTCATAAACTGATACACCTCTTCATCAAAAGCGGCTCAAAATGGGCGGCAGTTGTAAAATAATAATAATAATATACAAAAAAAAAAAAATTAAATGCAAAAGGAAAACAAAGAGAGAAGCGATTTTCGGCGGGGGTTTGTTTGAAGGAGGAATTCCGAACCCTTCACATTCCTCCCCGACCGGTCCATTCACCCTTTCACGATTTTATCCAGCTACCTGGTGGAGTCGTCCTGGAGACGCCGCCGCCTCTCGTGCCCTGAGGGCGACCTGAAAAAAAATTAATGGCCCGCTCGGGCTTCTGCCGACGGCACCTTCCTTTCGGTGCTGGGGCAGGTGCTATTTATTAATAATGACTCGAAGGCACCTGGCCATTGTTGGACGAGCCTGCAGAAATCTAGAAATTTTCATATATTTTGATCGGTAAATAATCGAATAGAAGCTTTAGAAATTTTCTATTTGGTACGTCTTTGGTGGTGCTGGTTGACCCTCATAACGACTTTTCTATATGGGTAGCAATGCTTTTAATTATTTTTGATGGTGATGGCGATTCCCGCATCGTTTTGGATTATGTGATTATGTCACCTTTAATTCTAATGTATTCACTGAATATGGAAATTTTTATATTTTTGTTAGAAAATTAAGATGTTATTAGTAGGAAATATTTCATTTTTATTTCTTTATTTTAGCATCGATCCGTTACAAAATTGGTTTGTCAAAACTTAAAAAAAAATGTATATATATAATAAAAGCAATAATTAGTTATTGATTAAAGATGGAGCTGAATGGGTTGAATAATAAAAGCTCATTGTTTGGAAAAAAAAACTTCATAAATTATTGGTTTTCAATCGGCGAAAAAACTTCAACATCCTCATGATGTGACGTATCTTATTTATTTATTCTCCATTCAACAACGCAACATCTTAAATCAAATCCAAATTTAAAAATAATAATAATATAGAAGTAAAAAATACTTTTATTGATGTCAATCAACTGAAAAATATCATTCTATTAAGGCAAATTTTTTATTATTATTTAAATTAAATTGTAAAACTCCCAGCAATAATGACCCTCCACACACACACACACACACACACACACACACACACACACACACACACACACACACACACACACACACACACACATACACACACAAAGATAGTATACTAATTAGAACAAAAACACATATGCACACCAACAACAATTTGCAGAAAAACACTTTCGTTGTATCACAATTTACTTACATTAAAAAAAAATTCCAAAAATTATATTCTCATATATGCGTCTCACAATCAGAAGCTTTGTGTTGTCAAAAATTGACTTTTGATTTTTATTTAATATCTAAATTTATTTCTAGCTTTGAAATATTTTTGCTCATATTTATCAATATTGCATAATTGAATTATTATTTTTTATTATGTTATATTTTGGCAGTTTCAAATATGAAATAATTTGTTAAGTTTAATTATCTTATTGTTAATATCTTTGAATCCAAATTACAATTTAATTATCACTATTAAAATGCCAAGCATTTTTCTTTCTTTGAATTAATTGAATCCAAGAAGATACAAAGCAGCAATTGTTATTCTCCTTTCAAAAATAATTAGCAAAGTAGCAGGTGGTGCAGCTGCTGGACTAGAGCATATTTTGATTAATTCGCGAGCCGCGGGTCTTGCGCACCATAGACATTCCGCACCAAGACTTTAGTCGCTTGCGTGCCTGCGTCGGTAATTACGGTCTTACCCTTTCTTTCGCTAGCCTAGACCGAGGTAATGCCTCGGACGACACCTGCTGATTTCCTGGCCGCCGTTTTAATGCTCCGCAGGTGCAATCTGACTCACTCTACCTCCCTGGCAGCACCTGCCACCACACTCGGCGCTTCTGCTGACCTTAGCTGGACATGCACTTGCCGCTTTTTCCTCACAGGTGATTCTTCCTTGCAGCCGTCTTTCAATTTTTCCCTCTTAATTTCCCCCCGAATGCAAATTAAGGCGTCGGACACGTCAAGTCGGACATTTGTTTTAAGCATCAAAACCAAAACGAATGCTGCTCTCTAAGTATACAAATAAGTATTATTTCTTCTTATCTGGGTGCGTTTTCGTGTCTCGCCCTAGGGCTTCTCTTTGGGCAGGCACGTGCAGCAACTTGTTGCCTCTAACAATGATGGATGATTAGAATTGCATAAAAAACATAAAATGACTTTATTCGTCGTGCATAAATTGTTCATATTTAGTTAATTTCTATGAGACTAATTAAATTTTTGAAATAAAAGTAAAGCCAAATTATTTAAAACAGTATTTGTAACTTCAATGAAGAATATAATCTAATGTAACTAGAACAAAATGTTTTGGTTCACAATCACTGCTAAAATCTAGAAATTTTATTAAAAATCGACACTTGATTTTTAAACTTCTTGTGCTTAAAAGTTGTTTCTACTGGGGAGAAACAAATATGAATAAAATAAGTCATTTTCTGATTTAATTAAAATATATTTTGTGAATTTTATACATCATGCAATTTGTTAGAAAGCTATATTTTCATAAAATAATTTTAATATAATCCTAACAATGAAATATTGATTTAGTCACATTGCAAAGGATCCGCAATCTATCCCATTATTAAAGATTTTCACAATATACAATATACAAAATTTAGGGGAAAAACTTTGATGAAAAATATGCCTGAATAAACTGATTAAAATTATATTTTTCCAAAATTTGAAAGATAAATTTTATACCCTCTCAATTCTTCTTCCTCTGTTATCAAAACCTCTGCATAGAGAGTATTGAGAATATAGATCTATCTAAATTTAAAAAAAAATGATAGATTTTTTCAACTTCAATGTGAAGTGAGCAAGACCGGCGAGTTTTAACATTTTATTCGCTATTAATTCCCCTGAGCTAAGAATAGAAACGTGATAAATATTCCGGCGGTGCAAGTGTCATGGACGAGCGTCGTTCCTCTCATTCTCTCACTTAATTGACCTAATTGCAGTCACGGTCGGCAAACAAACGGACGAGAATGCTCATTCTCACTTTCAGCGCATGAATTACGAGAGAGACGGCGCCCTGCACAAACCACCAATTAATTGCACTTCCCTCGCCTCTCTCTGTGGAACACGTTGTGATTTATCTCTTTATAAGAGCGTCGTAATTTGAATGTCAATATTTGTCTGATTTATTATAGTAAGACAGCACACCGTGAAATGGAACCGGAGAATGAAATTATTATATTTACGCAGCTCCCTGTGCAAATATGCAATAAAATTTCAATTTAATTTATTCTTCTGCTATAATTTACGATCGGAGCCACAATTATTATGAACATAAGAAATTTAAAACGACTTACTTACATTAATTTAAAGCAAGCCAAGATGATTGCCTGCTATATTTTATAATAAAAACAAAAAAATAATTACAAGAGAATGGAAAAGGCTATGAAAAAATAACAGAATTCCTTATTATTTCTTAACTCGTTTTAACGCAGTTTTTTCAATCGTCTCTAAATTTTAGTTAAATTTATCTCCAAATTATAAAAATTAATTTTTATTCCAAAATTTTCAAAAATGCCAGAAAGCGCAAATTGGTCTTCTGCGGTACGGTGCGTGACCAACGGTGCCCGCAGACAGGTATCGTTTTAGTCCCCGAGGGAGGAATCCAAAACCGCAAGTTTTGACGAAAGCGAGAGGTCCCATTCTTTTCTGCCCAAAACAGCAAACTTGAATGGAAAAAAAATATATACCTTGTCTTTTATGACAACGATTTAAATACAATGACTGAAAGAGTGCATGCCGAGTGCACTCCTGCTCTCCACGCTCGCAGTCACTGTTTGAATGAACGAAGGCAGACAGTGGAATATCAGGTGTCCATATCTGTGAATGACACCAAGTGCGAGTGTGAGATGCAGCCAGGTCGCGCCAGATAATGCCTACATACACATAAGCGACTGCAGGAAAATGATGGGACGTGATTGAATTACGATTTGCACGCACCGAGAGAGACACTCTCAACTTCTTTTCTTCAGCCGGATGACAATTCCTGTCTCACTTTGCTGCTCGTCCAGCGAAACTAGAGCTCAGAACTCTCTTGTTTGTTGCATTTATTTTCTCACGGCTAATAAAAATTCAATAACAAGGAATTGTTTAAATGCAAATAAAATAATTACCAGGAAATTTGGTCACTTTTTTAAATTTAACTTTTTTTCGTTATAAATTGATATATAAAAAATAAATTTTCTTTTTGGTATTGTTCCAGAGAGCCTGATTACACAAAGGGAATATTCCAAAGCATCGGCTTCAAGGAATTCCACCCCTACCTAGTCATGGACGAATCGGAAAGACAAACCGAGGAAAGCAAGAAACTTCTACAAAAATGCATTTGCGATATGAAAATGGCCACAAGAAGGTACGCTCGGAGACAAGTGAAGTGGGTCAACAGTCGCTTCCTCAGCAGCATTCACAGAATGGTAAAATAATAGCACTGTATTAAATCTTTGTTTAATTATTTATAATTTCAGACACCCAAGTTTGTGCCGTTGACATTGAAAAGTGCTAGTAATTGGGAGGCAGAAATTCTAGAGCCAGCTGCAGTTTCCGTACAAAAATTACTTGACGGGGAAATCGTTATAGCCACCCCTTCGGAGCAGCTACCAGACAAGCAATTAAAAGAGAGAAAAGAGACTGAGCCATGTCGGGAGTTTTGCGAAAGTTGCCAGAGATTGTTCGTCATCAAGAGCCAGTGGGAAGACCACATGAAATCCAAAAAGCACAAACGAAGAGTCGATTCGTTAAATAAACAATCAGTCAAAAAGAGGAAACTTTGTAGTGAGACAGAGTCGGATGATCTCCAAAAATAAAATTTGAGACTGATAGAAATTAAAAGTAAAATCCGAAGTTTTTAAAAATAAAAACACTAAAGCTGAATTTATTTATGTTTAATTATTATTAGGCAACTGAAATTCTTTCTACAAATAAAATTATCGATATCACTCATTTCCCCACTACCCGGTCAGAATTTCATTTTCAAGCACTCTGCTATTCCATTCTGGTTCATTTCTGTCAGGCACCGATGCTCTGAAGTTGTACTCGAAGAGCCCTTCAATTTTTTGACATGTCTCCCAGTAGATTGAAGCCATGTCAGAAAATTCCTCCATAGTCAACTGGAACGGTCTGCGAGTGGGATCAACATGAATCTTCTTAAGAAGCTCACCAGCCAACGTATGTCGCAAAGATTCGGGAAATAGCCGTCTAAGATTTAAAATTTTGTCAAAACAATTTTAGTTTTCAAAATTGACTTACTTGAATGGGATTATGCAGTATTTTTGCCTCATACAGAAAACAGTCCTTGTGACCTTTTCAAACACTTTAAATGGCACTGCAACTGAGGGCACAGATTTGGGCACCATGTGAACGACTCCAACATCCACATCAGGCTTCGGAACAAAACTGGATCCTGCAATGAAATAATTAGCAAGTTAAGATAAAATAGGAAAACAATGTACCCTTGATTAAAAACTTCAGCTCCACATCGCAGTATGCCTGACTCATCAGTGACAGCCGACACCTCTGTTTATCTCGTTCCAGGGCAACAATTCGCTCAGCCACTTCTTTTTGAAAGGTCAAAGTGAGAGGTACTCTTCCGTAGGTCCAGACGTTTTGCCTGAAATTTTTTTTAATAAATTGCAATATTTTTTTTATATGGAGAGAATCCTTAAATTTTCTAAGGATAATTTACATTGAAAGATTTTTTAATAACGTTTCGACTAACATGACAATTTCTAATTTAATATTTGATCCATGAATATTATTAATATCAATATAATGTTAAATTTTATTCATAATTTAAGCACTTGGATTGAACATTCAGCTTTTTCATACAATTTGTTAATTATACATTTCAGGAATCACAACCTTTTGCTGCATTAGTAAAAGTTAATGAATTTAATCGAATAAAAATAATGGTTTCTGGGTTTTATAATTCAATTAATTACAGTAAATTTAAAAAAAAAAAATTAATTCCAAGGTTCGCGCACCACAACAATGGAACACATTAAGATTATTTTAACAGCGTTACAGCCTAATGAATGGTGGAAACAAATTTAAACCCAACCAGAACCCTCAGCATCAATCAAAATTTGCTCTAATTGTTGTGATGAGTAGACCTTGGTTCAGCAAAGAACGGCTAAGTTTCTAAAAGAGGTCCCAAAGGGAAAATGTATTCAGTAAAATCTGCCTCATTCATCTCCCTACCTCTCACTTATATCCATTAGCCACCTAATGATCAGCGGAGTTGAAACGCTGAACGGAAGATTGCCAATTATATTGATGGGAGGTGGTTTGTGAGCCCAGTCTTGCGCTCTCAGCTCTTCAGGAAACATTTTACTCATGTTGAAACTCAAAACATCTCCGAGATGAATGTCCAGCCTATTTCCACTGGCACTGGCGAGAATCTGCGGAGTTTGAAAATTAACTTTCAACCTTTTTTATCATAACTTATCATACCTCAAGAGTTGGTAAAAATCTTTTATCCTTTTCGATGACCACCAATCTCTCAATCCCAGCATTGAAGATGGATCTCGTAATTGGACCTGGGCCAGGCCCCACCTCGCAAACATGCGCTCCTCGGAGTTTTTTCCCACCGGCAGCTCGTACTATTTTATCAGTAATTCTAGGATCTAACAAAAAGTTTTGCGACAGCTGCTTTTTGGCCCTGAGACCAAACAGGTTGATCAAGTCCCTGACCGTTGGCAGAGGCGGCAGTCGCATCGCCGCTACCTTTTGCACGGTTTGCATGGTGATGAAAATTAAAGTCTGTTATAAAAATGAAAACTACTGGGCACTGTTCTCGCGGGCTGGCTCGTTGAAGTCGTCCAGGAAGCTCTCCTGACGTACGGACAGCATCGAGTAGGCGTAGATGCTGAAGACGGCAGTGCCGAGCAGTCCGGCCGTCCACAAATTTCGGACACGGAGTTTGCGGAGTTTTTCAACCCTCTCGCGGTTCTTCTCCTCGATCAGACGAATGTACTGCAGCTGCGACTCGTTTGGCTTTTCCTTGCTGAAGTCAACCTTTGGCATCAAATCTTCCTTGCCCATAATTACAATAATATGCCTGGAAATTTAAGGAAAATTTAAGAATCAAATGAATAAATCTGAGCGTTGGCCGCATGTTTTTTTTAGGAAGTTACGTCATACAATATTGCGTGTAAATTGCCAGTTTTATATGATTTTTTAGGGAAAAATAAAAGGAAAATAATCGGATATTATTATTGAAAACCTTACAAACTTTTAATGAGCCGGAAAAGTGAGAAAATCCAAAAGTTCTTAGAGTGTGGTCATGGCCTGCAGAGATTTTTGCACGAACTATGGTCCCGCGCTCTGATTGGCTAAAGAAATGATCAAAATCTCTCTTAACCAATGAGAAAGTGAAAAACAAATGAAAAGCGACGAGCGATATTAAGTGGGCGTGTCTGTGATAAAAGCATTGTAAACAACTTGAAACTCGAAAGGCCGGCTGGAAAGTTTTGCTTTATCAGAAATTTTTAGTATAATAAAAGCATTTGGTTGAAAAATGGCTCAAAATACAAAAAGAACAGTTTATGTTGGTGAGTTGAGATAAAATATTTAGACTTTTGATGCTAATACTAACCAGATTTTCTCTTTTATTTTTTGGTGGTGCATGTCCAGCGTTTGATTGTTTCCTAAAATTTACATAATTCCATATTTTCTTGTGTCCCTATTTCCCTGTCTGGAAATAAAAATAATAATTACTTTGATTTTAAGGCGGACTTGCTGAAGAAGTTGACGAGAAAGTTCTTCACGCTGCATTTATCCCTTTTGGCGAACTTGTTGACATTCAGATGCCGTTGGATTATGAAACGGAAAAGCATCGAGGTTTTGCATTTGTGGAGTTTGAAGCTTCCGAGGATGCCATGGCTGCCATCGATAATTTGGTATGTAATCAGGTTTTCTTTTGAATTCAGTTTTTTTTTTATTATATCTTCAATTATTTCCAGAATGATTCTGAATTGTTTGGAAGGACGATACGTGTGAACTTTGCCAAGCCTCAGAGAATCAAAGAAGGCTCCACCAGACCTGTTTGGTCGGAAGATACGTGGCTGCAGCAGCACGCAGGAGAAACTTTGGATAAAAAAGATGACAAAAAAGGAGTAGAGGGTGAAGAGGAAGCTACTGAAACAGGAGAAGATGTAAGAATTTCAATATTTTAGAAAATTAATATTTTCTGAACCAGTAAGGGCCTTGTTGAAAATTAAATGATTAAGTTGCAAAATTAACCAGTTGAGACCCACTCATACCAATGAACTCGACCGGTCTTGATGGGTCTCACGTCCGACAATTGAATTTTAGTTTTATAGTATCCTTAAAATAATTTACGCTTAAGAAACAAAATTTTTATTTTTTTATTAATTCGCCGCTAATTTTATTTTAGACCGGAGAACCAGCATCAAAGAAAGCAAAGAAGAATCCTCAGGTTTATTTGGACATCACTGCTGGAAAGTATCCGCTTGGCAGGATCGTGATTATGCTAAGGGCTGACGTTGTTCCAAAGACTGCTGAGAACTTCCGGTGTCTCTGTACCCACGAAAGAGGCTACGGATACCAGGGCTCGACATTCCACAGAATCATCCCAGGCTTCGTATCCTTTTCTAAAAAAATCCAAATCCAAGGATGTTGAAAAGAAAAAACCTTGCTTTGAGGACATTTTTAATTTTTTTAAATTTTTCTATCCTCGGATAGAATCAAAATGAGTAAAAAGTAAAAAATGTGTACCAAATTACCAAGAGGATTGGCTTGAAAGCATTTGAAGACTTTATTTTCAAATATTTTCTTAGATTAAATTTAACTCGCAACTGGAGAAAGTATGCAAGTGGGCTTAGAATTAAAATTTAAAATCAACTTATCACTAATTAAAAATAATTATAATAAATACAAATAATTTTTGCAAGAGTATGAATAAGAACAACGATATCAAACTCTAATTTTAAATAAATTTTTATGTCAAAACTATTGTTTAGTTTTGAGAAGTAAAAGGTCTAATTTAAAATAAATTTTCAACTGTTTGTTTAATCTTATTTAATAATAAAATATGCCATTTTTTAATCCTTTTATTATTGCATCAGTGAAATAAATCCCAGATTTTTAACTTCTTTATAGTTGAATTTATAATGTTACCGTTCCTTAACCACCATTCTCAGATGTGTCAAGGTGGTGATTTCACAAACCACAACGGAACTGGCGGCAGGTCAATTTATGGTGGCAAATTCGATGACGAAAACTTCCAGCTCAGGCATACTGGTTTAGGAGTGGTTTCGATGGCCAACTCTGGGCCCAATACTAACGGATCACAATTCTTCCTTTGCACTGGTCGATCAGAATGGTAAAATCATTCTCGAAAATCTAATCAAATAAATAAACAATATCAATCATATTTCACAGGTTGGATGGAAAGCACGTTGTGTTTGGACACATCATCAGCGGTATTGATGTTTTGAAGAAGATTGAGGTATAAACAGAGGAATTAAAATTTGAAAAGAAATCAATTTTATATACGATTTTTGCAGAAATACGGAAGCAAAGCTGGGAAGCCATCAGAAAAGATTGTCGTTAGTTCTTGCGGAGAAGTTGTTTAATTTAAATTTGATCTGCATTTTGTAAATAAATTTTTACTTTAATTTAAGAAGCAAAAGAATTTAAAAAAGAATTTTTATTAAAATTTAATCAAAAATCTTCCAACTTTATCTATTTCGTTAGTTAAGATAGTTGCAAATAATTTTATAAGGCGATAAACATGTCTCTGTAATATAAAATACTATAAAAATAACAATGTTGTCTTGAGTAAAAAATACGAAATTTAGTTTAGGGATTTAGCTCAAATGATGATCCAAGGAGTAGATATTAAACATTTTTTCAAATTATTCTTTTACCATGTTGCAACATTTATAAAACATCATGAAATAAGTACATCATTTGGCATCAAACTGTCAATAATTGATAAAATGCTCTGCACAAAATTGACTTTTTATTGTTAATCATCAAACCATAAAATTAATAGTAGTGAACGAAATATCAGCATGATATTAGCATTAAAAATAATGAGGGTAATGCTACGATCCAAATTGTTATTATTTTTTTTTATCTGGATCGCAGGAAATTGTTTATTTATGAGCTGTAAAAAGAGCCGAGCGAGCGCGATACGACAACAAAACTATTAGGCCCGTAGTAAAAAATTAATAAAAAGTTCTTGTGTGCGCACCGCACTATACTATTATCTGGTGGAGTGTCGCGTTCTAATAACGATCCTTATCTAGCAGAAAAAGGGGAGCAGTGAGCGAGAGAAAGAAAGGTCGCGGTGAGCTGCCACGGGAGTGCGTTTTGCGCGATTCTCCCTCCAGAGTCCGAGAGGGCGGGCGGGACGTGGAGAGACTTGCGCGCACCACCCGAGCAAGGAGAACGACGGGAGAAGCAAGGAACGGGCAGGCCTGTGCGCTAACAGGTGCAAGTGCGACCTGTCGTGGCCAAGTCGAGGTCTCTCTGACGCCGCTGCTAGGAGGATTGATTGAGACTTCGGGGGCCGCAGGTCATCTTGGTCGCCCCGGGGGCGGCCGATTCTTCTCTCCTGCCTGCACTTGCATCCGACACCGCTGCTCCCAGCCACAGGTGGTGCGCAGAGGGATGATCCACCAGATGATGGGGTGAGTTTTTTTCACGATCCATTTCGCCACGATTTATGAGATGTCTCGAGACCACCGGAATGCGACAAAGATTATAAAATTTCGAGCACTCAGTTTTGAGCGAACGACAACGTGCGAGGAATGTGGAGATAAAATTGTATCGAGGAACACGGACTGACGGATTTCACGGATTATTGAAAATTGATTATCGATTTTGAGAGGCGGTGCTCATCTCCAAGAAGGGGGTAAGATAATAATCCGAATACGAGATTTCGGCACCAATTGAAATATTTTATTTTTTAAATTTTTTACCATTTTTTGTTAGAACAAAAAAGTTGTTTAAGATTCAAAATTATATTTTTATATTTATAACTTACGAAATGGCATGAAGTTTGTATTTAAATTGAAATTTAAAGCATATTTTTTTTAACACAAAAAACTTAAAATTTTTAGTTTAATTAAAGGATAATTTTGTTTCTGTTGTTTATAGTACTAGGGCCCATTTTAAAGTCATCTGAAACGTTTTTTGCTAATGGAAAATGCACTGGGAGATGGGAAAATATTATGAGGCCTCTCTTTGCAATGTGCGTTGAGGCAGTTGGATGTATATTGAACTAATGGATCAATATTTGATTACGGCACGCACATCTGACAAGGACAGCAGCCAGCGAGAAACCCTCTTTGATCACGTTTGAGAAAACGCCACGGCATTCTAAGAAAATTTCAATTATAATAATATTAGGGAAAAACGAAGCACATAGCATATATAAATTACCAGAAGTTTCAATCTTGTATTGAAAAAGCAAATTATATGTTACCAGTGTAAATGTAAACTGGTAAAAAAAAACGGACACAATTTTCCACCAAAAACGGAGGAGAGCCATTTTCCGCGAGCTTAATTAATCACAGTTCGGCTTTCAAAGAGCAGATCATGTGAGTGCTTGTCGGTCGGATAAATTTTGACGCTATTAGCATTTTCACGTGAACTGAAACGGGGTGATTACATGTAAATAATCGCTTGACCGGCGCACCTCTCGGACACATTCCATTATTATTTGGAAAGCTTCGATTGTGTTCCTCTGTGCCGCTGGACTTTGCCAGAGGCTCAACAAGTTTTGCCATAATAACTTTGCTTTGTGAGCCTTGCGATGTGTGCTTCTATTTGTGATTAAACTCGCTTCCAAAAGCTCTTTGAGGGTATTGCATGTTATTAGTTTCTCAGCAATTTCGAGCCGTTCTCCAGATTTGAAAATAAAGAATCTCACCTACCTCCATAATTAATTAAGCACTCACCTGCTGACTGATTATTTGCAATGAAAATGGCATACAACTGATTTTATTTAAATTTATGCTACAATAGTTAATATATTTAAAAATACTCCTTCTAAAATTTAGTAAGTTGAATTCAATATAAAAAAAAATGTATTTTTAATAGATATTATTACAAATATGCAATTTTTTCATAATGAGATCTGAAAATTTTGTTAAAAAATGGTGTAAAAACGTTTTATTGCACTGATTAAACATACTAATATTTATTCAAATATGTATTTTGACCTAAAAATAAGGGAAATTTTGCTCACTTCTAAATATGACATTCAGTAAAAATTATAAACGGAGAGAAATACGCAAACCTATTTTAGCGCTGATTGATATTTCCGTAAAAATCGAGGCTTTATTGTCTGCCGCGTGGCGTTGGAAGGACAAATATTTATCAGATGCAAAACAAACAAGCCTGTGTGCAAAATATTGTTTCTCTCGAACGTCGCGCTTAAATAAACATTGAAAACAATTCAGCGGTTGTAAATATGTATAAATAAATGGCAAAAATGAAATTATATTCTATTTTTAATATCAATAAATCTAACCTAGAAAATAATTCAAACTTCTAAAACAATCCGCATGATGGCAAAGAGAATTATTGTAAATTAATTAAAACTCTCTAATGGACCGCGCCCGCGTGTTTTTTCAGTATATCGTGACGCGTTCCGTCCTTTATCCTAATTAATGTGCCGGTCTTATTGCCAACTACTGAAATTAAAAACATCCTCACTCAGTTATGTCAGCACGAACAACGTCGGTGTTCATCATGCTATAAGCGAAACATCCAACACATGCAAATATGAATTTCGCAACACGCCCGACTTTAACTTGGTTTTTCAAAATCGCGTACAAATTATTATTTCCATCAGAAAATCACGTGGAATCGTAACTAGCGCTACTTGTAAGTGTCACGTTGGAATGAGTGCTCGAGGAATACTAATTGTGAAAGAAGGATTGAGTGCAGGCGACCCAGTTGCCATCGCGCGTACTCAGGTGTGTTATCGCACTTTTCCAACGCCCTAATGGAAAGTGCAGGCCCATTCCGAGAACCATAAATATTTAAATTGCGCATCGATTTCCATCTCGGAGGAAATTAAAGGCGAATGGAAATCCCAACATGAGGGGAAATGCTGCTTTCCTTGGGGGAGACCGAGAGGGACACCTTTTTCAGCCGCGATTGAATTCCCCCTAGCTATGCTAGCTGACCTGCTACATCATCAAAGGGTTATAAATAAAAAATAATTATGCGGTCGTCGATGGAATTATACAATATTTTAATAGGCATAAAAAAACAGGATATTCCTGTGGTGGGAAATTAAAATGAGGCATGCATATTTTTGGAATTCAATATCCCCGAAACCGCAGCGATAGGGTTTCCACAATGAGTGGGATGAAAAGCTGATTTACATTTCGGTTAAAAACTTTCATGAAAATTAAAGTAGCATTGATCAATTGAATAAAAATTTCTGCTTTAGGCTAAATTTATATCATACCAATCTTGTAACACTTATTAATAATAGTAAAAGGAAAATGTTCCATTAGTAATTTAAATATTCTTATAACAATATTTCAATAATGAGAGTCGATTTTTATGTAACTCAAAATAGATAAAATCTTTCCTATATTTATTTATCCCAACAAAAACTTTTCTAGAATAAAAAATGCTGTCTTTCTTTTCCACTGCGCTGGGTATTTTTCTCAATTTCGCATTTCTGTTGCATTTGATAATTTTAGAAAAATGGCGTGTATCCAATTCCCAGCAAAAATTTGCTGCTAAAATACCCATGCATAAACTAAATATGAATTCCATAGGGGCAGAAAATAAATTTTGCTTTGTACCGTGAGTTGGCCTGATAACACCGTGAAATGTATAACATGCTGCCTGCTCGATAAATTTGACTGCGAACAGAATTTGACCGGCGGCGGTTGCTGCGGACCAACGTTTGCACGCAGTCGATTAAAAAATTTTGTGCTTTTTCGGGTGAATGGATGATACGCTCGGGAGGGTGCACGTCAGCGATTCACGCCAAAGTACACACGGATACAACCGGCGAAACTAACTGAATTCGAACGAGAGAGGGAATCCGCGATCGCATACAACGTGCGCCGTCGAGCGCCTGCTGATTTGCAGGGTAGGCATTTTGCAGCACATCTGCCCGCCCGGCTGCATGCACGCAGCTCGGCGAGGCCCGAAGGCAGGTGAATTCTGTTTGGGTGACATTTCCAGTTGGCGAAATCGGGGATCGTTCAAGTGTGGTGCGTTTCATTTAGAATCTGCAACAATGGCTCAATATTTTGTTATTTGCAGAGCTATCCCCAGATATAATAACCAAATTTCCAATCGTCAAAAAAGACTATTTTTTTAGTGTTTCCTTTGTCAAAATAAGACAATTATGGTTGATTTTGTGATTAATTGAAAAAATAATGAAATGTTAACATTTGCTTAAATTTATTAATGAAATTATTTAATTTTCATTTTATTACTACACACTTAAAAATTTATGTAAAGAAAATGAAAATATAAAAAATAACTACAAGTTTAACGCTGTATTTCTGGTATTTCTCTAATTTTTTATTGAAAGGAAGAGTCATCGCAAAATTTACATAGAACAACATTTTTTTTCTTCGCGAAGGATTCATTTTTTATTAAAAAAAGCAAAGCTCCAATGAAATGAACAAGGGATGCTCGATCTGCCCAATTTGCAAGGAAAAATTTTCGTAGAGAATTGAAGCGTAAACAGCCCTCTTCTCATTAATCGAAATTTTCAACTCACTCTTTCGCGTCGTTCGTTTCTCACAATAGCCGAGAATTCTCGAATTCACAGAGCCGAGAAAGAGGGGTTGGAGTTTTGGTTTGCTTCCGAGAGATGCGCCTCTGTTATATTTAAGTATTTTCTGGAAGGCATGCCTGTTGGAGGGGCTGTTTTGTGAGCTAAAATCTTCTTAAATTGTTGTGCCCGGGGATGAAGTGCATAAAGCGGCTTACAAGAATACCGTGAGCGGAGAGGAAGACCAGTCAGGGTCAATTGCTGCTAAGAACGTCCGGTGACTATGACGTTCATTACTTTATCATGTGCTTGGCTGCTTCTTTGCAACAATCTTTCTGGCTTGGAAATTAATTCCTTTTTCATTACTACAGTGTTTATTTGCAATTAACATTTAATGTGAAGTGAGGGAAAGCTTTCATTAGTTGTAATTAAATGAAGGATTTTATTCGTCCTTAAGTTTCAAATATTCGAGATATATTAATATTTTGCAAAATTTTAATTATTATACCAAAAATAATGTGTAGTTGAAATTCAAACATAAAAAGCGGAATACGCGACCCACGCAACATGGAAAATTCACCTTTTAATTTAATTATACTTCTGTGAAATCTGAGGTGGTTTCAGTATTGTACAGAGTGGGAAGATTTTCAGATTATACTAATGAAGTGGGTATGGCATAGGGAAATAATGAGCTGATTTTGGACGTTTTAATAAAAAAATGGTATCAGTTGACCTCTTAACTTACTTTAAAAGGCATTTTTTATATCTAATTTTTAAATATTTTGAGGAAGAACTTAATCAATCTAAATTTGCATATTTAAATTAATTAGTACTTGAACAAATTAATAATTCTTAAAATTTAGAGCGGATTATTAATTTTTTAAAGTGGAAGCCTTCCTTCGTTCTAATGAAGTCAATTTAATTTTTCTC